CATAAATCCGGGTCAAACCGAATGGTCAGAAAACCGGTTAAAGCCGAATTTAAAACCGAATGGTACATCCAGTTCCAAACTCTATTCAATATCTCTTTAGAGTATTCATACGGAACAAAATTTTGATAATATTTTCGCCTATTAAGTTTACATTGAATTTAGCTTATAACTACAATATAATAGTCTAATATTAATAATGATAATGCTTGTCTAAAATGGATTTTTATAGCAAATGACCTATATGTACTGTATATATTTAAATATATTTAAAGAAACGAAATGTAATTCTTTTTTACGCTTGGATTTGATGTAAATAAAACTTTCAATTAATTAGTATAAAGTTATATGGTCTGATCGCTATTAAAAATCATATCATATGATTCACTATATCGCAACTTGCAAACGATCCTTCTCATAAATTACTTCCAAATAATTTGAGATACATATTGCAAAGAAATTCATTATTATTCTATGAAAAGAATTCATGATCCTAAATGAGTTGAATTAAATTCGTGAACTTTAAGCACGGTTTTCATCAACTCTTAAAATTATCTTTGTAATTAAGGAAATCGTCATATTTTTTTTATTAGATAACAGCAAATCGAACACACCGAAAACACCTGCACAAACGCGAATTTTTAAATCAAAATAAAAAAGAAAATTAAAGCGATTGCGTACGTCATTTATTTGAAGTTTATGAATTAACCAATTATGAATTAGTTTAGTTAACTTAATTGCCTATGTAAAAAAATAAACGATACTCTACAGACAGTTGAATTATAGAAACAGGCTGTTCTTTTAAACAATTAAAATGAATTAATCAATTTTGTTCTGCACTACTTTCTTCTTTAGTTTAAAATGAAATAATTACTTTATTTCGCATAAGTTAATTTTTGTGTCCGAATTGCATATTAATTAATGTAATTTTGGATAGTCGTGACTGAAATTGTTTTTTTGTCTGAAGTTGGAATTTAGATGAGATTCCAATTTCAGACCATTTTTGTTATTTGAATTCCAACATAAAAATACTATTTTAACCAATCACAATATGCTAATTTTTTTTTTTTTACAAGTAGTTATTTAAAATTTTATATATCAGACTTAATAAAATTAACTTTTAGCTGAATTATAGTTTATTTTCGCGGCATTTATTTATTAAATTTTATAGCATTTAAATTTCCAATATTTTTATTTTATTTTATTTTTTTTATAGTTTAGGTTTTACTTTTTCCTTGATTTTATTTTAATTCTATTTTTAAAATTATAACGTAAGTAAAGCTTTTTTATTTCAATTTATATTTTTTTTATTGTTGAATCAAATGTATGTAATTTTCATTTTTATTAATTTTTTTTAATTTTTCTATTTCTTTTAATTTTTTTAATTTCGATTTTTATTTTCATTCAGGATTTTCGGCAAATAAGTTAGTTCTATTTTCTCACTTTTCATTTTTTTTAAGCTTATTTTTTATTTTTTTTTAATTTTATCTGATTTCTATTATATTTTCATGCAGGTTTTTTGAACGCATCATGGTGCTGTGTCAGTTAAATTAGTGATTTTATTCTTTTTCGTTTTCATAGGTTTTTTTTTAAAACTTCAGAATGATGTGAACTAACCTTAAAAAGCAAAAATAATAATTCAATTAGAAGATCATGTTAAACACATTCACATTTTTTTCATTTTATTTTTTTATAATAGCAAGAAGAAATAGAAAAGGAACTCTTACCTTATGAGTTATCTGTATATATAATTATTCTATTCTGAAGCTGAGAGATAAACTTTAAAATAAAATTACTTAAATTTTTATAAATATTTTCAAGTAGTTAAGAAAATAAATTAAAGAAAAATTTATTAATTAAAATAAATTGCTTATAAACAGTACATGTAGATAATAGATTACTTTAATTTTAATTTATAAATATATAATATTCAGATTCTAATTTCAGATCTAATTTCAAATGGCCTTATAATTAAAATTCAGATTCTATCTTTTTTAATGGATCTATATCCCAACATTTTTTTATCAAATTTATATAACATTTAGGAGTATTGTTAATAATTTTAGGATATTTACCTTTACAAATATCTAAACTAAGTTAAAAATCATGAGCTTCATACTGAAATGGAAAAATTCCTGATATAAATTCCCACATAATTATAGAAAAACTATATATATCACTAGCTAATATATAAGATTAACCTTTTAAAACTTCAGGAGCTACAAATGGTAAAATACTATATATCATTTTTTTTAAATGTTTGAGAATAATCTATAGGTTTACATAAACCTAAATCACTAATAGATAAAATTTCTTTTTTAATACTTAAAATATTACCATGATGAAGATCACAATGAATTAGATTTTTTTGATGAATTTCAATGAGTCCATTAATAATATTAATTAATTTAAATAATTTTATAATCTATGTATTTTTAATTATATTTGATAAATTTTTTCTTAAATTACTATATAGTGCATATTTTATAATTACAATATAATTTAATATATTTAGATCTTAAGTAAAACTATATATTTGAATAAGATTTTCATTTGAATAATATTTTAATTTATTATAATATTTATAATAATATTTCCACTAAAAATCAAATATAATTAATTTAATTAAAATTAAAATAATAAATTATATTATATTTTATTTAAAAATTCTTCATTTAAATTTAATGACTATTAAAAATTTTAAGAATTACATTAATACTATCACTTCTAATCCAATCATTATTAATATATAAATAAGATTTAATAAATTTATCAATCCAAGTTGTTTTATATATAATACTAAATCCTTCTTTATCAAGATATTCAATATTTTCAAATTTAAAATAAGGAATCCATTCTAATAATTGCCTTTTATTTTGAGCATTTATTGAATAAATTCATTAATAAATTTATTTTTTATAAATTTATAAATTTTATAAATATATCATATTTTATATTAATTATTATTAATTATTAAATTATACTGCATTATATTAAAATATCATTAAGTAATAAAAAATAATTTACTATCTATTATATAATTAATTATTAAATATTTTAAATAAAAAATTTAGTTAAATTTAATTATAATAAAATGTATAATTAAATACTAATTATCAATAAAATAACTTACACCCTTTAGTTTTTTAAATAAAAATTTAGTTGAATTTAAATATAGTAAAAGTATAATTAAATATTAACAATCAATAAAAATAACTTACACACTTTAGTTTTTAAATAAAAATTTAGTTAAATTTAAATTACAGTAAAAATTATAATTAAATATTAATAATCAATAAAAATAACATACTCTCTTTGGTTTTTTAAATAAAAATTTAGTTGAATTTAAATATAGTAAAAGTATAATTAAATACTAATTATTAATAAAAATAACTTACTCCCTTTGGTTTTTTAAATAAAAATTTGGTAGAATTTAAATTATAGTAAAAAGTATAATTAAATACTAATAATCAATAAAATTTAGTTGAGTTTAAATTACAGTAAAAATATAATTAAATATTAATAATCAATAAATAATTTACCATTTAATTATTAAATATTTTTTTAAATAAAAATTTTAAAGATTATATTCATTCCAATTCTTTGTTATATTCCTTTTATATATTCTTATTATTCATCTTCTGTTCGATTATTTTATCATCATAAGTTTCCAATAAAATATTAATTAAGCATGTATTTTAACATAGTTTCTGTTAGATGTTTTTATACAAATTAATTTTATTCGTCGAAACCTAAAATAATTAACTTACTTTCTGTAATATTATCATATATATTAATATTGTTTTATTTAAATTGAATTAAAAAGATAAAACATAACTTACGATCTATAATATTTCGAGATTAAATTATTATACTGTATAAAGTATAGATAACTAATAAAAATAACTTACCGACTAAAATGTTGTTAACCATTTAAAATATTTTTTTGAAATAAATTAATTAAGTATAAATTATATTATAAAGAATTACGATAACTTACTCCCTAGTATAATTAATCATTAGAAATTAAATAAAAGTTTAGTTTACATGTTAAAAATATTGATAGGAAATTAAATGACTTACATTCTATAGTATATAGCAACCATTGAAATTTTTTTTTTTTTTTTAAAAAAACTTAATTATTAAAGAATTATAGTTTAACTTTGTAAATAGATGAATGTTCATTACCATTTAATTCTTTTAATGTAGGAGCATCAGGAGCATTCAAAACAGGCTCTAATGTATTGCAGTATTGCTTTATAACAGCTTTTTTATTACTTTTGTTTTCTTTGATAAATATATTTTTAAACCTTTTATTACACTTTTATCGTTACTGTTGAACATTTTTGTAAATTTAAAAGAAAAAAATTAATCGTTTCTTTATTAAGGTCAATGCATTTTCATACATGTCGATCATTTTCAAAATTTATGCAAAATTTAATTTGACAATCACCTTTCCAAATAAAGTTAAGCAACGTACCACAGCTTTTTATTATTTATGCTAATAAATAATAATTAAGCCACACATCACGTGCGCTAAATTTTCATTATTCACAACCGAAAAAGTTTATTATTATGTCGCATATATATATATTTAAATTCTCTAACCTTTCATATTTTATCTTCAAAATATTATTAAAGTTCAAAATATGAAAAAAAAAAATTACTAATTAGGATAAAAATACAAACACGACGAGAATTCGTAAACGGTTGTCTGTTTTATCTGAAGGAGGATGACCGAGTGCATCTTTAGGATTGCTGTGAGTTTGCTGGTTACTTGATTGCTCGATAAATACTTAAAACACAATGTTAAAGTAATTGCGGAGTCTGCCAATTAGTTGTTACTGTTTATACTAAATACTCTATAACTTCTTTTATCATACATTGTTATTAATTGATTCAAACTAATATTTTTGAAACGAAAAATCAAAATGTTCATTTTGGTAATCAAGAGAAGAATTTTTTATTTTAAAATTAAAAAAAAAACTGATATTAATGAAAATATGAATATCTCATTCGAAATTTTATCCTTTGGTAAATTTCTTTTATTAAATTGGTTAATGTCTATCTTTTTAATTCTTTATAACGTAATAATAGATTTATTTCTTTTAAAAATTATCTTTTAACTCGGCATATTTAACAGAATCCATCCAGATGGACGAATTATCCCATTATCGTTTAATGAAATTTCCTGCGATACCATGGATACCCTGTCAAATACTGACAAACCATTTGTATCCTGATGAGATAATCTTTCATCTTTGGTCAATATCGGTTGTAACAGCTTACAAATGGGTTTGGCTATCGTAATGCATGGAGCTTAAATTTGTAATTTGGAATGATTAATTACTACTCCTATAAAGAGTGTGCAATTTCAGCTGCATCATGTATATATTATTTTATTTTATTTTTTAAAATCCTTTAAAAATCCTTATTTCTTATTAATTAGTTTAACTAACCATATTGTTTCGGGTGCGCGGCTAATCCAATTATAATTTGTGAAATTTTTTATGATACCCTGTCCAACTACTAGATACCCGCTTATAACAAACTGGCGCAGATTAGAGATAACCTAACCCTATGAAAAAAAAAATTCTGGAATTTGTCCAGAATTTGCCGTAGTTTCCGAAATCCACCATATTTCTAAATTCCGGATAATATCAAGACATCACGCGATGTCCGGAATCAGCCATTTTGGTACACTTTCCGGACGACTTTGACATTTCCCGGACATTTTCCACATGCACCCGGACATTTTTTCGATAACATTTTTCGGACAATTTTTTTTTATAGGATGCCTCCTATGATTAAAAAAATATATCGTGAAAATTTTTAATTAATTATTTGCGGTATTATCTAACTATATTTGAGATAGCCATTGCTTTATGAGATTATGAATAGTATAGCTGTCATAGTGAAATAAATTTCGATTGCTGCGCCTTGCAGCAATCAAAATTAAAATAAAATAAAAACTTCAATTCATTGCTGCGTTCGTGCCATTAAAAACATAAAATAATTTAAAATAAAAATCTATTCTAAAAAAATAAGTCAAAAGAATCTAGCATCTGAAAAAGTCTTTTTGATGTATGCTATCGCTTAATTATTTTTTTTATTATTTTAACACTTTGAAAGTAAAAGTATTAAGTAAGATAATTTTTCTTCTTTATAAGTTTATAAGTTTTCATTTCTTCGTAGAGTCAGAGTCATACGTTTTTTCTTGAATGTATAGTGGTTTAATGATTCGATTCATACTTTTTATGCGTGAACTATTTCTTGTTTTACGTTGCTCGCCCTCATCGATAATCTATTACATCAAGTCTAAATGAAAATAAATAACAATAATTTGATCTGTGTATTAACCAAAATCTTACAAAACTGAAACAATTTTTGAATTATTGCAGTTATTAAAATGGCTTCCTATATTATTACTAACCTAACTAAACAGCTGTTTGCATACCAAGATTATTATTTTCGACAAAAGTGAAGTGTTGTTTGAAGAAATTGTGCTGGCAAAACCTCTTATTATAAAGAACATATAAGGTCAACTTGAAGATATGGCAGTTCTCGAGAAAACTGGTATGTTCATCAGTTGAAATGTTTGCTAAAATCATAGATAAAAATTGTTATTTACATTCAAGAGAATTTGAAATTATTATACAACATATATATTAATGCATTCTGTTGATTTATTTTTATGATTTCTAGTATCATGATTCCTTATTATTTTCTTTGTGTATGGAGCCTATATAATGCTTAATAGTTTCTACAGCATCTGTTGTATTTCATCTGAAAATGATCAATTACCAAGACAGTTTAATTTTTACGCCATCTATTTAATTATACTTTTTATTATCTTAGACCTAGAAAGAAGACTACCAGATTTTCACGTCACGCTTATCTTTGTTATATATCTAGATAGGTAAATGAACAATTAGATGATTTGTGGAGCTAATTATGATGGTTATCTCTTGCTGATTTTACTAGGAAGGGATCTTTATACAAAAATAATAAGAGTTTATTAACGTGACGGCAATACTAGTCGTATAATTTATCAAAAATCTCATAATTGTATGCAAGACATTCTGATGCTATGATTCACATCATGTAATAATAATTTTTATTGCGTATTTTTAGAAGTGTATTAATAAAAAGGATTAACCATATAACATTATTTGACAATTCATTGATCATTCCGCCTTTCAGTTGAAAATTAAGGACTGGTGGACTATTAATAATTTATTGCATAATTTAAAATAAAGCAAATCGGTTTTACTAAAAAGATGTATATCGAAAAATGAAAAAAAAGCTAATTGTAAACAGCTAGGTACCCTAACCACAGGTATTAACAATATCTTTTGCAACAAATTGTTTTTAAGTTAAAATACTGTATATAGTATAAGTATTTATACAAAATAATTTATGTTGTAGTAATTATATACATCAACATCAAACAATTCCTCATTCTCATATTTAATAAGAATTCCCGATCATCAAATTCTTCGTTCCCAAGTGTTGTTTTGCTAGCGATAATAGGTTCACTATCGCCATTTATCGTGTGAGAAATGGCATTAATTTAATGGTTTAGAAATCAAAAAAGCGGATGAAATTGTTTAATTAAAATAAATCTTTAATAGATGTTTCGACCGCTTTGGAAATTGGATATGCAGACGGCATAATATATCAATGTTGTTGAAAAAGATAAATCTTTTCGTGATTGTATAAGTCAGTAAGTCGAAAAAAGATTAAATCTACTTTAACACTGTGTAAAATTTCAGAAAAAAATTGACCTTCAATTCTTTCTTAGTGTCATGATTTATTGAACGAATATTTATCCATTAGTTGTCTAACAATAAACCGTTTGGTTCTATTCCAAGGGCAACACATGTTGTTGCAACGCGAATCTGTATGATGTTATTTAAAGATCTCCACGCATATAATACAAAATTAAATTCATTTTATTTTTAAAAAAAAAATTTAAAAATTGCTCACCATTTTACTATACTCTCAATTTACTTTGTATGTTGTAAGAAAGCTAACTTGATGTCACATTTACCTCTTGCTCGTCTTGCATCCAAGAAAAATTGTTTATCTACTTCATCTTTAGCTTCAATTAACTCTTAATACATATATTCCGACCATCTGTGGTTGGTTTTATACCCTATATAATTAATATTATTAAGAATTAACAATTTAATTAAGGCAAAAACAAATATCAAGAACAATTGTCAGCATGATAAAATAAATAAATATTCATTTATTGGTCCGGAGCGTAGCGAAGGACTACATAATTCTATCCTGTTTCCGCTCGAAATTTAAGTCGATATGTGATTAGAAACCGTTCCCTAGTAATACCTCATAATCTGAATGATTAAATATCCAATTAGAATCATAAATTAACCTTAGGATAATAATGATATTTAACTTTAAGAAGATTATTATAATATTTAAAAAAAGCGGGTTATCTTGAAATTTTATTAATTTACATATTTCTCATATTCCGGATTGCAAAGATCTTAAACTTCCAATTCGAATCAAGGTGGTGGTGGTGGTAGCGGCGGCGGCGGTAGTGTAATCGACATCTTGGGAAGTCAACTCTGGAAAAATGGAAGATATGTTGTAAAGGTGAGTACCAGAAGGAGATGTTTTAGCAGTAATTCTTCCTTGCTCTAGCCAACGATGTAAGGTATCCAAGTTTTCTAGTTGCTTTGTGTGCAGACAAATACATGGAGGAGAGAGTTTGAGTTTAAGATTTTGAACGATTTTTGAGTCATATGATTTTCATTGATAACGATATTATGAAAAGCAACACTAAGCAATTATTGGCAACTGTATTAATAAGCAAACATTTGCTATGGTTAAAAAGCATAATTAATAGTCATCATAGTAAGTATCGATGACGAGCATTACGTAAACTAACTTTACCTTAAAATGTCATTTAGGAATTTTTTTTGTGATTTGTATTTCCTATTTTTCACTTAAAGATGATCGGCGTCTTGTTTAAACTAAAATTGTATAAGACGTTATTTTTTTGGAATTCATATAAATCAGCAAAATTGCTTGAAATTTGAAAATTTTTTTTGTTCAGAAATTAAGAAAACAATGAATATGATGAATAAGATAATTTGGGGACCTAAAAATGATTTGTCAATTATATACCGGGATTTTATCGTTTAATAGATTTACGCAATGATTTGTATTTAAAAGGACCCTTACAATAGTTGACCACATATCTGACTTTGTTTCAGACAGTTTTCAAGAATTGATTATAATCAATTAAATTCACAATCATTGCATTTGACTTAATTGTTAAATCACGAAAAATTTGATCAATGATTGTAATTATACGGCTGTTTTATTTTACTATTTCACCAATAAATATAGTATATAGGTATGAAATGTTGATTCGTCCATCATCTCTTCGTTCAGGAATTTATTCGTAATTCTTTGACCAAATATGGATGTTAGGAAAATCATGCTCCTTTACGAATATTGAAAATTACGATAAACCTTCACCGGTAAATACATATGGAAATTTAGATTTTATTAATCTTAATTTACATTTGATTTTATTTAGATGTATGACAAAATTGACGGGATTATCAAATTTGTTAATGAGTGATTGAGACTTGAACATGATTTGATTGGAAAAAAAAAAGTAATAATACGTGTTATCGTTATGAATTCGAGGTCAAGAAAAGTCAAAAACAAGAATTTGTACTTTCAATAGTATAACGTATGTATTAATATATGCTTCTTGTCCTGTTTACATATGAAGTTTTTCTCATTAATATAGGTTATTATATTATATTTCTTTACTAGAGGCTATTGAATCGGAAATCAAATTTCAATCTTACAATGAAATTTCATTGCAACCAAAAGGTAAATTTATCTTTTTTCTCTCAAGTTTTCTTTTTTTTTAAAAAAATTATTTCTCTTTTAAAAGTCGAAGCGATTTCGTGTCAATCCTAATTTAAATGCGTCATTAAAATCAATATGGATGAATGAATGCAAAGAAAACGAGGATTTATTTATGGAAAGTTATTTATAAAGGAAGTTCAAGCACAACAAGGAATGATGAATTAAACAATAAAGTAGTGGAGATGCTATTTCGCAAGCATTATATAATTTTAAATGTTTCGCACCATTTAATCATATTTACAAAGATTAATTTAAGGATCTGAGAAAAAATTTACATATGAGGCATAATTTTACTTTTAAATCGGATATTCGAATTAACGGATTTTATATTCAAGCAATGACTATTGATTTATCGCATTCAGCAATAATTAATTCATTTATAAACTATACCG